TTGGTGATTTTAACAACGACACCCTATTGGACATTGTCGTCACTAATGCCGATAGCAACACTGTAAGTGTACTTCTAGGATATGGTAACGGCTCTTTTGCAAATCGAGTAGCATATGCAACTGGCACTTATCCAGGATTTATAGTTGTAGTTGATTTTAACAATGACACCGGTTTAGATATCGCCGTCACTAATTATTTGGACAACACAATAAGTGTACTTCTCGGATATGGTGATGGCTCTTTTGCAATGCAAACGACATATTCAACTGGCGACAGGCCAGTCGGTTTAGCTATCGGTGATTTCAATAACGACACCCGACTAGATATTGTTGTAAGTAATTCTGGAAATAATACCATAGGTGTACTTCTTGGATATGGTAACGGCTCTTTTGCAAGTCAAAAGACATATTCAACCGGTGCTTATCCATTCACTTTAGCTGTTAATGATTTTAACAACGATACTCGGCCAGATATCGTCGTCACTAATTATCATGATGACAGTGTTAGTATTCTGCTCCGTTATGATAGAGGAGCTTTGAAAAACGGAATTACATTTACGCCCAGTACTGGTGCCCATTTGAGAAGCGTTGCCGTTTCTGATTTCAATAACGATAGTCTATTGGATATCGTCGTTGCTAATTATGGTAGTAATAACCTAGGTGTTATTCTTGGATATGGAAATGGTACCTTTGGAAACGAAATGATATTCTCCACTGGATTAAAATCTCATCCTTATTCAATTACAATTAATGACTTCAATAAAGACGGTCAAGTGGATATTGCAGTGGTCAATCGTGGTACTAAAAGTCTTAGTACATTTCTGGGAAAGGGAAATGGAACGTTTGAAAGTCAAGCAAATTATAGCACTAGTTTCGATTTTGTTCCATTGGCTGTTGGTGTTGGTGATTTCAATAGTGATGGACATTCGGAAATTGTTGTTGCATATGATGATACTGATAATTTGGATGTGTTTGTTATATATGACACCGGAGATTTTTCTCCTCGAACGACATATTCAACTGATCATTGGCCAACCTCTATAGCTTTTGGTGATTTTAATAACGATACTCGACT